CTTGGCTACTTCTCCTCGCGCTGGAAGTTAGCTAAAGTCATACCCATCCCGCATTCTCCCACATTCTCAATCACCTACACTTGTTCCTTCTGATAATAATAAGATACGCTTAAACGGCTCAGTGGTGGAATGGTCCAAAGAGGTGCAGTGTTTTCAAACGTTTCTCTGAGCGGCATACTATCGATCGGCAGGATCATAGCAAGCGTCGTAGTGGAACTAAATATCGGAAGCTGCATTTGAAGGTTTGAGAAAACCCAGGGCTGTCAGATTACGATATCGCCAAGAGGTTCAATGCCAGCCAAAGCATCGTCAGAAGGATTCGTCAGCGAGAAGGTTTTCGATCTTTTCGGGCCAGTAAGCAACAAAACAGGATACTGAAGCAAAATCTAGTGGCTAAAAGACGTGCCGGAAGTTGTACAATGAGGATATTACAAAGTACGAAGGATGCATCCTCATGGACGACGAAACGTACGTGAAGATGGATTATGGGAAGCTTCCCGGACAAAAGTTCTATAAAGCCACTGGTCGAAGTGATGTCCCTAGCAAGTTCAAATTAATTTTTTCGGATAAATTTGCAAGACAGCTTATGCTCTGGCATTTGCAGTTATGGTAAAAAAAAACCCAGGTTTTTGTGACAAAGAAGACTATGAATTCCAAAATGTATAAGCAGGAGCGCCTTAAAAAACGTTTTCTTCCGTACAATTAGGCTTGCAATGGACCTGAAAAGTTTTGGCTACTACAGCGGAGAAGTTCTACAGTGGTATCGAGACAACGGGGCACATTTCTTCGAAAAAGACACCAATGCACCCAAGTATTAACATTTGTATTCTCCTGTGTTTTGTCTGTTCACCACTTTATATTACACTTAATTTCAGACCGCATTTCAAAAATATGATTCAAATATAGCTCTAAAATAGCATTCAAATGACCATCGCAATAAATCGCGCACTTGTGTCCACATTGTGTTTACTGCACATGAATTAAGAGGAATGTTTTACTGACACAATTTATTGATTTCAATTCTGCATTGCTGTATAAAACTCTTCCGGTTGCTATTATTAAACATAAATTTGACGTGCTTCAAGTTAATGATCATACTCTAGGGGCATCCCACTCTAAACTTTATATTTCTCGCATTATACTCAGAAAGTTCTTACTGATATCTAAGGTACCTGCAAATACTTAAAAATACTTAAGAAATATTGTTACCTCTGTTGCTAGACAGATTTCATTCGATTATTTACCCGATGTCTTCCGAGAATTTGTGTGTGCGTATTTAGAAAAATCAAGTATTATTTTTTTATTTATTCCAGAGACCATTTTGTTTCAAGGAATATAACATTGCCACATGTAATTCAAAGGAAGAATAAGGAACTATTTGGAAAGTTACTGTGGAAGAAACTGCGTGTGGAAGCAAATTCCATGAGCAAATGTGTCTATCCCAAAACCATGATTTTTCGTCCATTAGGTTCTTGACCGTTGGACGATAACTTCAGGCCTTTACGCTGATTGAAGCTGAATAAGAAGTTGTGAAAGCTTTTTGCATCATCCGCAAGATTGATTGCCTCCGAATAAGAAGAGAATCACATTTCCTCGGATTTGGAACCTTCGATGCTCTCCTGCTTAAGGCTTATTAGGGTAAAGAGCTACTTCGGCCTAATCGCCCATTTTGGGCCTATTCAGCAGAAAACATCAAATCAAACCATGATTACGGCGTTAACAAGTCAATTATGCGTTTGGCACGATACTTCTGTTCCAAATCTACCGAACGAAGTCAATAAGAAAGTGTGATATGAATGTTTGCACCCATTATTCTCAAAAAACAGAAGAGTGAATTAAATTGCGTTTGAGTGGCGTTTCAAGACGTTAGACCGAGTTTAGAATCCGAAGGCTGAGTTTGGCGTCAAGAAGCAGTGTTAGATTTTTAACAATATCTCAACATTGTGTTTCTCTTTATCAAATCTTACGATACGTACGGAAAGTTCAGTAAATTTGGAAGACATCTGCAGTGAGAACATTCCATTTTGTGAAAAACTTCGTTCTAAAAATAAAGGTAAAGGGCGGGTTGTGCTTACTAGGCCCAAAATAAGATCTAAGCCGTAATAAGGCTGGACATGGTCAAACCATCATATTCGCTCCGTGTTAATCTCAGAACCGTTCTCTAATTGATTCTATCATTCATCAGAAACGGCTATGTGTTAAAACTTTAATTTGGACTGTTTGGGGAATGGTTTGAAATAAATTCATACATTTTAACTTAGGATTATTTTACATGAAATTGGTACAAATAAGTAACGTGTTGGAACTAAATTGTTTTATTTGGTATATCAATGGTTTGTTATAAATTATAATTTCAGAACAGATTAATATTTTTCTTATCCTTACTTACTGGTAAAAGTAAGAAATTCATGTTGATTTCGCATAAAGCCTTCGGTTGCTATCAGTATACTCACTCAACTCCCTCACCAGTCCGTCATAACTCATCTTTACCGATGTAAATTTATCAAAATGCGGTACGATACGACCACCAGTGGCAATTGCAATTAGTTCAACTTCGAGCCCACCAGCACAACGAATTGCTGGTAGTTATGCTTCATTGGCCTCTGGCAAATAACCAGTGTAGTCCTAGCATCCTTGGCCGGCTTAAAGTCAAGAATTTCATAATAATGCAGCTTGCGATAGTTCTTAGCCGAATTGACATTCAACATACGCTTTTATTTTGGCAGTTCAGTTTGAAATCTAGTTGCACTACCGATCATAAGATTAAGGACACCCCCAAAAAACCATGCAAATATGTTTTGTTCAATGATCTCTCATTTTACGTTAAATTTTCGATCTCCAAAGGTTATTTGAATGGTATGAAAGGTATAGCATAAGTGTTCTACTACTACTTTTATTTCAAAATTTGGCCAACCCAATTCTGAGAAAATCAGTCACGATTCTTCAGAGTAAATTTTGAAAAATATTGTTACTTTGGGTGAACTTATATATACTATATATATATATATACTATAATTTGAAAATTATATTGAACAATTTGTCTACGAGGAAAGTTCCATTCAATACCTTTCAAATGATCTAAAGAGAACGAAAATTGGACGTAACATGACAGAGATATGAACATCATAAATTTGTCATGTTTTTTGGGGGTGTCCTTAAACTTATGATCGGGAGTGTACGAGTTCGGACGACAACGGCACCATTAACCTCCAGCTAAGCAATATAATTCAAAAGTTTGATATCGTACTGAACAGCCAGTTCGAAATCATAAATAATTCACTATCCCTGCTCTAACTGGTTCACTGAAAGTAAAATGTTTTTGATGAACTATTTCATATCTATAATTAAAATACTTACTTATAAACATGATCACACTACTTATATTAATTTAAAACATATGGAAACTAGTATTAATATGCTTTAATACGTGATTAAAAGTAATAAATTGACGGAATATACAACAACAAACAACTACATTAGTAACCGGTCACTACGATTAAAAAATCCAAATCTTAAAATTCTTAAAAATACTCCAGAATACTTATCAGATACTTGGAAATACTTAATTGATACTAGAGCTATAGTTTAGAGTGGGATGCCCCTAGATAATACTTTTTGCCACAAATGTGCTTATGTGGTACAGTGGGTAAAGTTGACACCTGTGAATCAGCGACTGTCGGTTCGAATCCCGAAATGTAAAGGTAATATTTAAACAACGTAAAAAATGTAAATCCAATTAGTCAGCAACATGCTAAACCAATCTCATAAAAAGTATAAGATATGAAGTGTTCTTCCATATATTTTTTAAAATAAAACAAGAAGGCTGAACAAGGGTTGGAAAATACTGATGTGTAATGCTTTTCATAATGTATATTGCTGTTGAGCTTTCGACTGATTAAAATCACCAAAGATAGACGTTTAAAAGCTGAACAAAGGTTAACTTGGTCTTTGTACATCAATTGTTCAAACAAAGGCTGAATTAAAATCGTTTAAACAACACTCTTTGAGCATCTAAATGTTACCTGCCTGTGCCATGATTTTGTACATCGATTTCTCACAAATCACAACACAACTACGCAAACTAACTACGCTATCTGATAGGGCATATCCTCTACTTGTGCTGGTAATTAGCCTGAGTGAGTTTTAATTCGCTTTCAATCAATTTTGGAAGCGATTCTTCACAGTTATTCAAATATTTTGAAAAGAGATGAACTAACCTTCGACTAAAAATCTCTATAATAAAGTTTAAAAAAAAATATACTTTGAAACGAAACTTGTTTGGTCATTCGTTCCGAATAAAGACTGAAACGCGCAAAAATTGGTCGACAAAAATATATGAATTTTGACTGAAAGTAACTTCAATCAAAATTCATATCACAAAAATCTTCTTATTTTTCTTTTGCAAGTTCAATTGATATATTTAAAGGAAAAAAAAGTCCGTTTATTCTTTTGGTTTGCCAAATCCGAACTGCCGTGCCTTCCGCTTAACCCCTTCCAGAAGGTGCCGAAGAAACGAGCTCAACTTTTTGGCTCAGCTCTGCTACTTTCTTCGGTCCCAAGCTAATCGATGCACCACTCAAAACATAGGAAAATCCACGATCCCCTCATTTAATCTGTCAAACTTTCATAGCGAATCAAAACAAACATAGTGTAGTACTGGAATTTATACACATCCAGCAATTTTGCCAACTTGGCGTGTGAGAACGTCGGATTCTATTGCTGCGCGAGCAAAATTTTGACACGCTGCTTCTCTTGCTTGGACGACATTTTGAAAACTGGAGAGCAAACGGTGAAAACTCATCATAGCAACCATTGTATATACACTCAACTTCCAAATGCAGCACGCAGTATGCATTTTTAACAGAAATACACCAATTTGAAGTTGACCAATTTTTGCGCGTTCCAGACTTTATGTCATGTTCTGGCAAAACCTGAAGGCCTGCAATAGGCATCATTTTAAGCTAGTTATTAAATAAAACACCTTTTCCTCTTTTTTTCAGGTCTCCGTAGAAGAATGGTGCAATATGTGGGATGCCTATGCCAAGAATCCGAATGCCGTCCTGGATTGGCAAGTGCGGTAAGTCGTTATTTAAGTTCGTGTTAGTTCAAACTCCATATTTTCTTCCTTGAAGTTTCCCACCTCCCAGAGTCCAAGATAATGCCTGCTCGACAGTTTTATGTTTTTAAGTACGATCCATATAGCGCTTGTACGGATCCTATCCAGGAGACGAAGACAGCAAAAATGGTGATGACTCGTAAACTGGTTCACCTCTGAATTTTTAATTAACAGTAATTACCGAAGAATACGTGCCTCCGCGGCTTGTTCTTCGTTGGCACTTGGGATGAATGTAAGGATGTTGGAAAAGCGGATTGGATTGTTTTTTTTTGCGCATGGATGTGCTTATGAATATCGGGTTTTCCTGAGACATGCTTGCGTATTTGTTCAGCACGTGAACGCAAGACCGTCGTCGTCGTGGTTCGCTGATAGCAAAACGTTGTCTGTGGGAATGGGTTCACCAAGTTTGCCATCGGAATACTATAATAACAGGTTTTATTAGCTTTACATAAATTATTCCCGTTTTTCGGGGAAGGTGACATTATGGAGTTTCTTCCGCATAGCTGCACACACACACATATCGGCAGCTATTAAGCCGCCCGAAATGATCCGTTGAAATTTCACTTCCTGGGAAGTGTATGATAAAGTCTCATGAATATAAATTGATTCCGTTTTGGGAGGTGGAATGCAGGGATTTGATTTGCCCCAGTAAAGTCATACGTTTGACTTTCGCAGTTTAAATAAATTCGTTCCAGCTTTTGCACGCTTTGAAAAGTTCGAAACTATTTCAGTGGCATGGCTCCTGTCTAAATTAGCTCATGCTCAACCACGTGTGATTCTTTCACCCATACGGATTAGTATCTTATGCAGTTCAATACAACTTGCACAAGAAATCGATATAAAATATCCTCTCAATCATTCGATTCCCAAAGTGGCACCGAAATCCATAACGAATGATCGCGTACAGATCGGGAGTTTTCCCCAAGGACCAGACACTCCCATGCTCAATTCACCTTCGCTTGAAGGTAGCAAATGGAGCCGCTTAGTGGATATGAATAATGCATTTTTTACTTCTATGTGGAACCTCGGAGCTTCTAACAAAATCTATATTCACGAGTGGCTGCCCCTACAGAAACTTTCTTTGTTCACCTGTGATGGCGGCCTTGACTGGGTATAGTGCCGGCATTACTTCCACACAGCTCCAGAACTAGTGGTATGCAGGAACAGAAATCCTCCGGATAGCGCGGTGGGTGGTGCGTCCACCCACCCGGTTGCACGGTTGTCCTTCATCAGATTTAGCTGATTTTTTGTTTGTGAGTAGTGTTAATCATAGTAGGCACCTACAAAAAATCACCTTAATCGGTTTGACGGCGACCGAGACATAGTGGTGACGGGATTTCACCACCCACCGCCTTATACCGGGGATTCCTGTATATGAAATTGAACAGTCGTAAAAACCATAACCCCCTTTATCAATCGTTGGCCCCGATGATGCTTCAATGAACAGATAAAATTCGCACCTCGGTAGTGGTTTTTGTTATCAGAAGCAGATTGGAAGCGGAAGGGAAACATTTCCACGACCTAACCAATTTTCGCTCGCTTGTTTAGCTTGTTAGAATGCAGCCGACGTGGAGAATTTTATGAGCTGCGAGATTTGATTGGATCGATCCGTTCGTTGGGTTACTGCTGCCAACACGTCATGCCAGTCGTTACCGTAGCTCTGAGCCGTGATAGGAGGACTGGTAGTACCGTTAGATAGGGGGAAATTGATCCTTCGTTACCGAAAATGCCGATATGTATTTTTTTTTGCAGTCGGATAAATCGACTAGGTAATTGTAAATTGTAATCATAAGCTACGTAGACAGTTTATGATACATTTTTGATCCGCCTCTCGCGACGTTAACAATCGGTCTTATTTTTTTTTATTTATATGAAGCGTGAACATCCTTTAATAAAAGGTTTATTATAGTATGGACAGCTGTAATTTGGGGCCTCCCTTACTTCAGCCTGTAAAGGCGCAGCTACAATGCAAGGCCACGCTGGAGGTGGAAGGGTTCGATCCCCGGTCTGGTCTAGGAATTTTAACGGGTTGGAAAATTTCTCGACTTCCCTGGGCATAGTGTACAATTATACTTGTCACCAATACTAATACCAATAGACCAATGTATCCACCATTTTGAAAAAAAAAAATCGAACCTGAAGTTCGACACTTTAACTGTTTAGAAACAATACATTTTACAATACCATTTTTAATGTAGTCAGTGAATAATAACGTTTAAAAAAATTAAGTAGAAACGGTAGAATCACAATTTTACTACAATAAAGAAGAAACCACATAGGACGTTTTGACAAGTCAAGTTGTACATCGAACATGTTACATTGGACGATTTTTCTCAATGATATAAGCAATGAGTGTTACATTGGACGTTTTGTCTACATGATACTAGATTCCCTTTCACAGATTTCAGAGTAGAGTACCTAACTTCAAATTGGCCGCACCTTTTGAAAATGAGCCCCAATCATTTTAGGCAGTCTGAATGACCGAAGTAACAATCATGTACCCATCATTTCAAATTGTACATTGGATCATGCTTGGCATGCACAGTTGCACACACCTACTGCTCATTTGTTGATAACTTTCCACTCAGTTGTTGATTTTTTTTTCTTCAAAGTAATTGATAGATTTGGATCATAGTTTACTATAGATATGCAAAGAGTAAATGAATCTTAATATTTGAATCAAAACCAATGAATTTTTACACTTAAAGCCCGAGATGTGCAGCGAGGTTTTCTCACTTCATTTTTACAACGTAAAAACAAATACAGTTTATTACTAGAATTAAAATCTACTTTTTTTCGTATCTATAACAAGCTTAAACTCTATTCTATCTACTGCTTCAAAAAGAACTATGTTTCGTAAACTGTGTGCAAAGCTATTAGCAAATGAGCAGCATGCATTAGATTAAATAAATGAAAGTAAACTTGGATGGATGATTTTGTATCACATACAATGATGGAAGAGCAATAGTTTGTATCGCATAACTCGATTTGTTTACATTTGTTTCTTAGGACCTTCTGAAAAGTGATGCGAGAATTATATATATGAAAAAATTGTACAGGCATCGAAAGCTCTCAATTAATCATTTTATCAAGCTTCTGCATTCATGTTCCATCAGATGTCACTGCTGTTGTTTGCGGTGGCATCTATCGAAAACTACTCATAATCTGTTTTACGTAAATTGCTCACAGAGGGGGCGACCCCGGCGTAGTGGTTAACATCCATTCCTCTCATGCCAAAGTCACGAGTTCAAATCTCACCCCCGGACAAGTCACGAATGACCCAAGAGTGTTAAAGTGACTATAATATAAAAAAAAAAAAAAAAAAAAAAAAAAAAAAAACAAAAAAATTGCTCACAGAGGACAGTGCAGTGCAAAACATCTCTGGTACTTCTATATATGCATTTAGATTAGTATTCAAAGTCCCTCCTTTTTTACACTTGCTGCACACAAAATAGCTCACCCCTCACAGAATTTCCCGCAGATTTTTATGTATGAAAGTAAATCTTTTGTGCAGAATATGTAAAAAAAAAAAAGGAGGGACTTCAAATGGTAAACTAAATGCATATATAGAGGGACTAGACATTAGACTGATGCAAAAATTGACTTTTTCGCTCCACAGTGCTTAAATGGTTTTAAATCGGGTCCTGATTAGCCTCCCAAAGTTACAACTCATTTGGTTAGAAACAGACTTCGCACAAGTCATTTGAAGTTTACTTGTAAATTACTATGGGAAATCTCAACTTTTTGTTCATTGCCTTCTAGTCTTTTTCCATATTAAGCTGCGAAACAGTTCGATAGCCATTCTAATAGAAAATTTTCTCAGCAATAACTTTGCTCAAGATCGTTTCTATGTAAAACGAGACAGGAAAAAGTTATTAATTATTTAAGAGATTGGTAAACTTATGACATGATCAAGCAGCTGCTCTGTAGGCAACACTGTATTTTGCAGTGTGACATAGTAGCCATGATTTTTGTGTCCTATTCAACGCCCCAGAAACACCAATGTTGCCTGCTGAGCAGTTGATTGAGCACGATCATAAGACATCAGCGCATTGAACCATTGATAACTTTCGATCCTTGTATTTAATCAAAAAATTAAAGGGTTGTGTCCTAGACACGACCGCAGTATGACGTAGAACCTATCTGTCTAGCTCTATCTATGATGCAGGATATATGCATTTAGCACAGATAAACAGACATAACTCTCGCAAGTAGTTTTTTTTTTTTTTTTTTCCGTCGGTCTTGTTTTCCGTGCTGAGCACCAATGCTACCGACGTGCCAGGAAGGTAGCTCCCACACCTGGACCCTACCTATCGACCCATCAACTCATGAACCGGGGACCAACGGCTTTACTTCCCATCCGAAGGAAGGCGTGATCAGAGATGTTATGCCTCAGAACATCCCGGCGGCGCCGACTGGGATTGAACCCAGGCCTGCTGGGGTGAGAGGTAATCACGCTTACCACTACACCACCGGCGCCGTTAGCTCTCGCAAGTAGTTCATCGAACAAGCATGTAACGGTCAATTTAAACGTATCGTGGTTGGTAGTACCGCCACTTGTGGCGCGCATAGTCAGTTCCCTTGCGTTTGACGTTTACACACTACCGCCATCTGTTCAGCGTACTACCCACCACAGTGTACTCAACAGATGGCGGTAATGTTTTAGCGACGTTGTTTTAAAGTGAGGAATATTCAATGTGTTATGTCTGTTTGTCTGTGCATTTAGGTTAACATCCGTTCATATTCTGCACAAAACATACTTTCTAAGCACCACAACTGACAGGATTTCTCGCCATTTTATTATGAATGGGGGCGGGGCAGAACGTTTCTTTTGTGCAGAATATGTAAAAAAGGATGGACTTTGGATGTTAATATAATTGCATATATAGAGGTACCAGTTATGTTTTACCGTCAGTTGTGTGTAATTCACCAACTTAATATAATTGAATATGTCTTTCAAG